GCAGGCCCAAGCAGCAGATCGGAGGCGAAGGCCAAAGCAGGAACATCCGGGGGTATGAAATGGTGTAAGCCGTGTTCGGGATTTCTAAAATTGAACGTTGACGCAGCAGTCCGATCAGATCGGTGCGACCTTGGTTGGTGCTTACGGGATGACAGAGGAAGCTTTATAGCAGGGGTTGCTAAACCATGGCCAGGGAGCCTCTCGCTGTTGGTGGCCGAACTAATTGGTATCCGGGAGGCACTCAGCTGGCTCAAAGAGAACGTATGGCAAGCTATAGAGGTGGAGACCGATGCTTTAAAAGCTGTTTCTCAGATTTTGCGTGGATCAAGTTGTTCGATGGTTGGTTTGTTAAGTGACGACATTAGAGATTTGACGAAGCCCTTTTCGAGCATTTCATTTTGTCATGTGAAGCGGTCAGCGAATAAGTCAGCCCCCGCTTTAGCTAGTGCTGCTTGTTCCTTGTCTGACTTGTGCTCTTGGTTTTATTCTCTCCCTACTTTCATTGTATCGGCTTTAGCCAACGATTTGATTAATGCTAATTAAGTCCTTTTTTCTCAAAAAAAAAAACTCCGCACTGTTCATTTATTGTGATGGTTTTGGGCGGAATACTATTCATTTTTTTCACTTGCTTTTATATAGAGTAAGATAATGGTTGATTTTTTTAGATATTATTATACACATGATTCTAGGAGTCATTTTTTAGACTACTTCAACTTACATTCGTTTGTAAAAATCGGATGATCATGATCATCATCATCACCCCAGTGCGGCAAAGGCTCCCACACTTTCGGCAGGGTAAGGGGGAGTCGGATGTACGCAGTCTTACCCCTTTACTAAAGCACAAAAAATTGATGATGCAAAGAAAAAACACAATCCTTTTTAAAGATCTCCATACCCCCTAGTATGATCATCTCATAATTGAGCACTAATGGTGCTAAAATGTGAATGAGAGATTTAATCAAAGGGGATGTTTGGACCTGCTTCGAAAAACTGCTTTTGCTCCTTCTGGGAGCAGAAGCAAATATAAAAGTGTTTGGGTGAAATGTAGAAGTATTTCTAAGTGCTCCAAAATGCTCCTAGAAACGGTTTTTAGAAACTGGGAGAGGCCAGCTTCTCAAATCCAATTCTGATTCTACTTCTATTTTTTAAAAAGAAGCATGAGCAAAACAAATTCCAAACACTCTCATATACTACTCAATATTTGAATTTTAAGAAGGGACATACTTAATCCATTACATTGCACATTTTTGACATGACAAAAATAGGCAAGTTATACCTTAATTTTTGAACTCTTTTGACATTGTATTAAGCATTTTATTATTAAAATGAGTCAAGCTCAAAGATTATGTAAAGTTTACAAAATTGAATGGTAGACTGAAACTATTCTTGACGAAAAGATATTGCCTTGCTAAAGATTTATATATATATATATATATATATATGATTAAATATATATTGACGAAAAGATATTTTCTTGCTAAAGACAATATTTATTGACGAAGAGATATTGTCTTGCTAAAGAGATAATGATGAAAAAATTGAATGGTAGACTGAAGCTATTCTTGACGAACATATATTGTCTTTCAATTAAATTGTTGATTCTGGTTAGTATTTAATTTTATAATTTTTATTATTGCTAGCTTAAGATGTATCACTTTTAACAATATTATTGTGTAATTTTTTAGTTCATTTTTTAAATGAACTATTGTGCACTTTATCTTTTTCACAATACACATTTTGAAAAATAACTCGTTCTAAAGAGGAAGAGGCTTATTATTATTATTTTTTAAAATGAAACTAAGAACTATTATTAAATATTAATTATATTAAAATACACCATCATACATAAAAAGTGCAAACCAAATAACAACGTTTTGAAAGAATATAGCTACTCACAATGAATTACATTAAATGAATACGTTTTAAATAATTATTTAATAAAAGTTAGTTTGGTAGGTAGAATACTCATAATTGGAGAACGCATTTAAATGTACCCTTTTGGTCAAAATTAAAGAAATATTGACCAAAAGGGTTGACTTACAATTATTAGAAAGTTGCAAGGTCAATGCTACCATATATAGCTACAATTGAATGATTGAGATGCAGTCTTATTATTTCTCTCATTTGATCCAAACTCTTTCTCTAAAATATAGTTTACTTTCATATACATGATTATCCATCTTTGTTTTCACCTAGAAATAGGACACATTTTAAGTTTGCATTTGTTGTTAAGTTTGCATATGTACACATGATCACTTGAACACCTCCAAAAGCAACCTGACACGAAAGGAACATATAACATTTTGCAGTTCGCAAATGTTCAGTTCATGTGTGTAGATTGAACATAAACAAGGAGTACCTGATAATGACTCTACAATCAGTTTACATCATATACATATAAAAGTACATGAAATAGTAAAAGCCTATCAATTATAAAATGTGTACTTCAATTCACTCTTATTAACTGACAAATCGGGGGAAGCATAAAAAGTGGGAAAATAACTAAGTATACATCAACGATGACTAATGTACATATAATTGAACAATTGAATGTAATTTGTATTTAAACATATTTATTAATACATCGAAAAAACATTCTCACTTGGGTTGGTTTTCATCTGAATAGACATCACCATTTTTTTAAATGTAATAGCTTACATAGTGAGGAACACTTTTTCTAAATTAAATGGATTTGGTGGTATTTTTTAGTAGACCTTCAATTGTGATTCATAATTCACCCGAAAGTTTCTATAATTCAACCATGGAGATAAATGTTCAATATTGTCCCGAAACATAAAAACCATGAACTTTTGAGCTGAATCATTTTGCCACCGTCTTCATCTGCGTCCCGGAAGCCAAATTTGTAAAACTTAATAGACAAAACATTCTAAAGTGTTAACATACCACTAATTCAACCTTCTTGATAGGTGACATAGTCTATGTCTCCAAACTAAACATTTTTTCATATTAAATGAATCAAACATGTAGTGGGAACCCATTCAATCATTAACTCCAAAATGAATAATACTTTCAATCCATAAACAAAGTTGGAGTTTAACTCCCCACGTTCAATATTAGACTCGGGCCCGGTCCGGTCCTGACATTTTATGGGCCCGAGACAATACATATAGAGTATGTCTTATGGAAAACGTGTGAATGCCTATATATATTTTATATACAAAAACTACTCCCTCTGTCGAGCTAATATTGTCTCATTTTTCATTTGCGGTCCGACATATTAATATTGTCTCATACCAAATTTTGTAAGTTTTGTGTGGTTTCAAATCATTCTTACTTTATTCTTATTCTATCAATTCAACATCAATCGCATAAATCAACTTTTCTTAGTAAGTTTGTCACCCCTCATGTCCCAATATTAGTGGGACTGAGATAGTAATTTAAGCAATTTTGTCATTCAAATATGAGTATAACATATCAAAGAAATTAATGAATCAAAAGAAAGTGAGAAGACTGTTCCTAATGAATTCTGGTATAGGTGTTTCAAAATTTTAGAATTGTAGTTTGTAGATGTTGAATATAAAAACTGAAACTACTCGAAAAATTATTTGTTAGATTTTGTTTTAAATTTTTATACATTAAAATACACATATATTACCTGTGTGTGTATAACTGGAAATGGATCGACCCTAAGGAAATAATGGTCTTGATGAAATGACATGCAAATAGTAGTGTGTGTTGTGTGTGAATGTATTGATAAAACTATTACTCTCTCCGTCACAATTTGATAGTCTCATTTCTTTTGGGCACAAGTTTTAAAAAAGTGGTTGAAAAGGTAAAAGTTGTGGTTGCGATTTGAAGATAATAAAGTGAAATGATATGGACCACATCTTTCTTTTCAAAAGGGGAAACAAGACCATCATTTTGGGACATCCCAAAAAGAAAATACAGGACCATTTTAGGACGGAGGGAGTATATAACATTTCATGAGGAAAAAACAGAGTAAACTATCTATTTTAAAGCATTGCTTAGGGGCACAATAAAAACTTGTGAAATATTAGAAATCTAACTGAGACATTTTAAATTTTTTAGAGTATTAGTGAAATATTTAGTCATCAAAGTATAACGGTATTTCAATTGTCTTTTAGAAGCTTCCTAATGGCTTGAGGTATTATCACAAGCATATATGTAGAAAACACTACGATAAAAGTAATATGAGCTCGATCATAAATCTAAGTAAATTTAAAAAATTAAAGATTTGTATGACATTTATTTGATTATACCCCCATCTCATTGTAGAAGGTTGTCTTTTTCATCCAATTTTGATAAAAATTGGGTACACATAAAAATGTAGACTTTCCACACTTTCCCTAATTGGGTATACATCCGATAAGAATAGTAATAGCTATTCTTATTCACTCAATTTTGATAAAAAATTATGGACATAGACCGGTACCTAAACAATGATAATTTCTTTGAAAAATATATTTATAGACATAAAGCGTGTTTGATAACCCTGTTTTTCAGCTTATCAGCCAACTTTTTCACCAAACACGTAATTTTTGATTTCGTGCGCTGAATTGACTGAAATTACTGTAGAGAATAATTTTAGCTATTTTCATATAATTTTGTCTTTAATTTATCAATAAAAAGTATTTTAAATATAATTTAGGGAAATTACCCAAAATAGGAGCAAATGACACTTGGAATTCCAAAAATAGGACTAGTATATTTTTCTTCCCGAAATAGGAGTTATTACTGTCAATCTGTCATGTATGAAAAATACTGTTATGATTGAAAAATACTACTCGTATCATTAATTATAATAAATACTGTCATGTTAAATGCACTGTACTGTAACTATTTGACAATCACGACTACAAGATGACAGTAAATACTGGCATGTTAGTCCTATTTCGGGAATAAAAATAAAGTAATCCTATTTTGGAATTTCAAACTTCATTTACTCATATTTTGAGAAATCTCCCTATAATTTATGCATAAATCTGGCGATCCAACCATTTCAGCCATAATAATTTCATAAACAATTCATTTAAAAAATGTAAACTTTTATTTACAATAGTTCATGTATCTGCAAGTGTACAACCGTCCATTTCCAATTTCTATTCCCGGAAATGGGATTAACTCAAACACCTGAATTCCTGAACTCCGGAGATCGGAGCGATCTTTTTGTAGTTTAGGCGCGCGAGCGGCGAGCCTAACACCTGCATCCCCCTGAGCAAAGCCGGCAGAATAGCTTGGACTGATCACTGATAGTCTGCGCCCGAGTCGCGTCGTATTCATCCAGATTTTTAACTCAGCCGTTGGCCCGTTTCGTCAGAAATGCTAAGCCGGGGATCGAATGCTCGGCTTTCCGGGATTTCGGTCCGATCGCCGATTTCTTCTCTTATGCTTGCCATGTTCTCCACCATGGCATCTCTGTACGTCGCCGGCCGGTGAGTTACCCGCTTCAACTTTATCAAGCTCATCTTCTGACTCTTAAATCCCTCATAGTTCGTAATCTTCATATCATTCATTTTAATCGATACCTTTCCGTATTTAATATGATTGAGCTTAATGTTATTGGTTGTCAGTCTCACCCTCATTCAATTTCTGAGTTGTATGAGTAAACAATTATTTTGATAATCCCTTTTTGCTCAACAGTTTATGGATAGATGCGGAAAATCGAGTTTACTTAACAAAAGAGCTTGATCGGATAACTGGACAGGTTTCTATTTTTTTCATAGATATTCTTGCAGGAAGTGTGGATTTTTCTTTACTGATTTGGGGTGGACATGATTGCTCTCTTCTAGGAATATTTTGTCTCTTGGAATGGTCTATATTTGCCTATTTTTCCTCTTCAAATTAGGAAGGGTAACTACTAGATGACATCCATATATCTCTTTTTATGCGGTAGCAATTATTTAAACGATCTTGGAATGGTAAAGTTAAGATTTGGCATCCTATTTTTGAAACAACAGTTGTATAAGCACATTATACATGCTAGCGAATCTTTTATATTACCTGGATAATATAATTTATGCACTAGAATACTTACTAGATCTACAGACTGCAGTAACTACCACTATTCTTTTTTGATATCTGTGCATTCACATATGTGCATATAAATCCATCCTTTATCACTGTATGGCGCTGGAAGTTCATTAATCTGTTTCTTCATCAATAGGGACATTCTGCCATCTCTGTTGACGACACTTGGAAGGTCATAGACTGCAGGTATGCACAACTTGTTTTTAATATTCTTTAGTTAAAATGACTAACACTATGTTTTTCGAATTCCGCAAGGCTCCACCTCATACACAAAAACAGGGTTATTACTTGTAAATTGTAATGGAATAACATTTCTAACCTCTATGTATTCCCTTATATTATAGCAATCACCAATCATTCATACCATATATGCCCAAGTTGCCCAACACTACATGGACCAAATAGTGGTTCCCATTGAAGAAGGAAAAAGAAAGAAACATATTTCTTGGGCCAAAGTAACCTTTGATAATCTATTTTTTTATATTGTACGGAGTATTCTGCATTCCCCTCTTAAATATCTTTTAATAATTGTATTCTTGTATACCAAATAGAACCTAAGTCAATTTTTATTGGGTTAAATAAGAATATTTTTCCATTAGGGAACAGATGAAGACACTTTCATCCTTGGAAATGGAGCTATCAGCTGCTAGACAGGAGGGTTTCGTTCCTAAAGAGTTATCAGACGTGAATGGTAATACTAAGAAAAGGCCTTTGGTTGTGATTGGGATTTTTACTAGATTTGGGCGCAAAAATGACAGAGATTCTATTCGCAAGGCGTGGATGTCCACAGGTAGAGATCCACTTCCTCTTTGGTCTTGATATAGGCTTTGAAATCCTTACGGGTTGCCCATTGAGTTTGTCTACACTTCAGATAATTAGGTGTTTCCAATGCTCCTTTACCTGTTCCCTAGAATTAGAGATTCTCAAGTATTTTCCAATCATTGTGCGATCCAAATGTTCGTCAGTTGAATGAATCAAATTAGAAACTGGTCATGACATTTCAGCAATTCATAGTGATTTCTTAAAATTGTCTCGATTATCCAAAATTTGTTTCCTGGGATTCTTTTTTCCCTTACTTCTAAGTTCCAAGTTTGATATATATCACATAGTTGTGCTGCTCAGGTGCAGTCTTGAAAAAGATGGAAGATGAGATGGGTGTTATTGCTCGATTTGTCATTGGCAGAAGGTACATTTTCATTTTACTTTTAATTCTTAACACACCCTTTATTCTCTTAAAGTCAGTGCATTATTTTGAAATCTAAAGCTATGATGGCACATGTTGATGTACAGTTCAAATGGCGGGGGCAGCTTGGACAGAAGTATTGACAACGAAAACAAAGAAACCAATGACTTTTTCATTCTTGTGAGTCAGTTGGTCAATTTGCCTTTCTTGGAACTATTTTGCAACTATCTTCTTAATTAGTTGATGAAAACCAATTAAGCTTCATCATCATCAACAGCAACATACTTTAATCCTCAGGCTTAAATATGCTTTTAGTCCTTGCAAATATGGCGTTAACTTTTGGTTGTATCAATTAATTTGGTAAAATTAATCAGCATAGAGGCAATGTTTTAAAGCTTGTGCCCTTCCTGACACAACCTTTGGTCCTTTATAGTAAGGAATAATGTTGGAAATCTTAAAAGTAAAAACTTTCATCATCATAAGTAATTTTCATACATCGGGAATGTATGAGATGGCAGAAAGTATTACTCTGATTCTTGGGATGAAATCCCAAGCAGTGGATTGAAATTACATGAACAAAGATGAAAGACCTCTTCCTTCTCTGAAATAAGTGAGAGCCTATTTATGTATTTTGCACTGCTACATTATATCATTGTCTTCTATGATCTCAAATTCTGTCATCGTCTCATTGACAGGAAGACCATGTTGAGGCACCTGAAGAAATCTCAAAGAAGACAAAAATGTTTTTTGCCCATGCAGCTGATAGGTGGATCGCTGATTTTTATGCCAAAGTAAATGATGATGTTTACGTAAATATTGGTATGCTCACTTATTCTTTGGCATCCCGAATTGTAGTCAAGTCAGTGAGTCACAGTAAAAGAATTAAACCAGAACAGGAGCCCCATTTGATAGAAGACTTTATCTGATTATTAGCCTTATAGGTGTATTTTCTACCAAGAACTAAGTAGTTTGATTGCGCTGACCAAATTGGATGAGACAAAAAATGTCATTTCACCCTTAGATTGTTTTTATTTATTCTAAAAATATTTATAAAATACTTTACTAGATTATGCAGTCCTTTCAGCCACAGTTTTCTCAATTTCAGACTCATGTCACTTCAACAATTTTAACCAAACTCCACTCCATTACCAACCGGGTTCATTGTTCATGTTGGTATTATATTCTGTATGTGCACAAGAGCTTCCCAGATACTCCCCCCGTCCCGAAATAATTGTCTTTTTTGCTTTAGCACAAGTTTTAAGAACGTGGTTGAAAAGGTTGAAGTTGTGGTTGAAATTTTAGTAGGAAAAAGGTGAATTGATATGAGCCACATATTATTGTCAAAATAGGAAACAAGACAATTATTTTGGGACATCCCAAACAGGAAAACAAGACAATTATTTCGGGACGGAGGGAGTATTAATATTCCCAAGAGTGACTTCTGCTCTATGATTTTTTGTGCAGATGCCTTAGGGAACACACTTGCAACATATGTGAACAAGCCTCGTGTATATGTTGGGTGTATGAAGTCTGGTGAAGTCTTTTCCGAGAAGTGAGTTGACAGGGATACTTGCTCAGAAATTAATTTTGAGAACTTCAATATTTTTGAGTGGTTGTTTGACTCCATCTGTTTTGTAATTGGAGTACACTAATGCCTTGCCTTTCCTTGAAATTGGCAGGGGCCATAAATGGTTTGAACCAGATTGGTGGAAATTTGGTGATGGGAAAACGTAAGCAGCAGCTTGACACCTACTGTCTGCCATATTCAGTTTCCGCTATATCTTCTTGAATATATTGGTTTCATAGAGAAATCTAAAAATATAGAAATGAAACTAAAAAAGGAAAATAGTCATGTAGAAAAATGTTACATTATTAGAAAAATGTTACATTATTTTTCCTGATTAGATTGATGTACATAGTGAGTCGGATAGACTTAGTTAGTTGTAGATAAGTTCATAGTTATCTAGATCCTAATTTTTAGGATCTGTACTAGCTTGTAGTTATCTGTACAAACTGTATTTATACTCTGGCCGTATGGCTCATTCAATCAAGGAAGTTTAATTCCTAAAACTTACATGGTATCAGAGCAGGCTGTTTAAACACCATAATGGTGGAAACCGAGCAATATGACTCTTCTCCCCACTCACAAACCCATAACCCTAACTCCCCAAATAGCTCAATGACAAACTACCAGACCTCAGTTCATTCATCTATGCTCATTACCGGCCATAGATTGAATGACACAAATTATCTTGAATGGTCACAGTCTGTCAAGCTGGCTATTGATGGAAGGGGCAAGCTAGGGTACATAACTAGTGAAATAAAGGAGAAAAAAACTGGTGATGATGGCTACTGTGTTTGGAGGTCAAAAAATTCCTTGGTGACAGCATGACTTCTAAGTTCAATGGATGCATCAAATGCCAAACCTCACATGTTCATGAAAACTGCAAAGGAGGTATGGAATTCCATTAAGGAAACTTACTCAGATCTTGAGAACTCTTCTCAGATTTTTGAATTAAAAACCAAGTTGTGGCAGTCCAAACAAGGCAATAGAGATATCATCTCTTACTATAATGAGATGGTATCCCTATGGCAAGAGTTGGATCAGTGCCATGATGATGAGAAGTGGGAGAGTGACAAGGATCTAGCAAGACACCAAAAAAAGGAGGAAAATGATAGGGTCTACATGTTCCTAGCAGGAATTAATAGAGATCTAGATGAAGTTAAGGGGAGGATACTTGAAAAAAAACCTCTACCCTTTATCAGGGAGGTATTTTCTGAAATCAGGATGGAGGATAGCAGGAAGAAGGTTATGTACAACATTTCAGTACATAATGAGGAATCTGGGGACTCTTCAGCAATGGTGGCTAGGAGTGATGACAAGAAAAAACCCTGGTGTGATCATTGCAAGAAATTATGGCACACTAGGGAGATTTGTTGGAAAATTCATGGCAAACCACCAGGGGCAGGAAAGAAAAAAACCGAGAAGGCCCTACAAACAACTGTGACTGAGACTCAACAAGAACCACAAGTCAAGTTCAATCAGCTTTCATTCACTCAGGAGCAGATAGGGCAACTTCTTAACTTCCTTAATTCCCAGAAAACCCAAAATTCCCAGAAAGAATCCAAACCAGAATCTTCCTCTTGTTCTTATGCCCAAAATGGTACCTATTCATCATTTTTTTGTTCTGGGAAATCTAAAAATTCCTGGGTTATTTACTCAGGGGCTACTGATCACATGACTTCTATTTCAAATCTTTTTTCTTCATATAAACCTAGTGCAGGGGATAACAAAGGTTAAGGTTGCAGATGGTTCTCTATCAGCCATTGTAGGGATGGGAAATATTAGTATTTCCTCATCACTGAATCTATCCAAAGTCCTTCATGTCCCTAATCTATCCTGCAATCTTACTTCAGTTAGTCAAATAACTAAAGATCTACAATGTTGTGTCATTTTTTATCCTTCTTATTGCATTTTTCAGGACCTTGCATCGGGGAAGATGATTGGCAGTGCTAAGGAGGAGGATGGACTCTATATCTTTGATGGAGAAACTCAATCTAACAAAAGAGGTCCAAGAAATGCTTGTTTGCAAACTGTTTCTTTTTCAAATAATAAAGATTTGTATTTACTTAATTATAGACTAGGACACCCTAGTTTCTATTATTTAAAAAAGATGTTTCCTCAATTATTTCTGAATAAAGATGCTTCTTTGTTTAAATGTGATATGTGTGCACTTGCAAAACATCACAGAATCATTTATTTACCCCACAATTATAAACCTACTAGTCCTTTTACCTTGGTACATAGTGACATTTGGGGTCCATCTAGAATACCAACTTTAAAGGGAAAGAGATGGTTTGTAACTATTATTGATGATCATACTCGTGTCACATGGGTATTTTTAATCAGAGAAAAATCTGAAGTTGAGAAAATATTTAGAACATTTTATGCTATGGTCCAAACTCAATTCAATACCAACATTAAAATGGTAAGAAGTGATAATGGCCGTGAATATTTTTCTCAAACTTTAAACAACTTTTTTACTGAAAAAGGCATTATTCATCAAAGCTCTTGTGTCAATACACCAGCTCAAAATGGAATTGCAGAAAGGAAAAATAGACATTTACTTGAAGTCACTCGTGCAATCATGTTTTCAAAAAACATACCAAAATATTTGTGGGGAGAAGCAGTGTTACATGCTACTTATTTAATTAATCGCATGCCATCCAAAACTTTAGGATTTAAAAGTCCTATTAGTTCACTACAACACTTCTTTCCTACAAATAGATTAGTAAACACCCTTCCTTTAAAAAATTTCGGTTGCACAGTGTTTATAAAAAATCCAGATAGATCTGCGAGTAAGTTTGATCCTAGAGGAAAAAAATGTGTTTTTCTAGGTGTTTCTGCCACTCAAAAAGGGTATAAATGTTTTGATCCTACAACCAAAACAATGGTTGTTACTATGGATACTTTTTTTGTGGAAGAACAACCTTTTTTTGATTCTCATCTTCAGGGGGAGAAATTAAGTGAAGATGTTCCAATAATGCCACATATTCATGAAAATCTTAATTTTCTTGATATTAATCTGGATGATAATTTCTTTAGAAATATCAGTACACCTGAAAATGATCAAGAAATAAAAAAAATGAAGTAAATCCAACTGAACCAATTGAAAAGGATCAACAGACAAGTCAGTTCTTTGGGAAAATTTATGAGAGAAGGGTTAAAAATCAAAGAATAGAGGAAGTCCAAGAACCTACAACTGTCCATGATTCTGCCTCAATGTCAGGAAGTGAAAAAGGTAATACTTCTAGCAACTTTGACCTTCCTATTGCTCTCAGAAAAGAGAGAAGAACATGTGTTTAAATACCCCATCTCAAACTATGTTTCTTATTCTAAATTGACCTCAGTATTTGTATTCCTCCAACCATACAGGATGCTCTATCTAAACCTGAGTGGAAGAAAGCTGTTTTGGAGGAGATGGAGGCTCTTGGAAAGAATCAGACATGGAAGCTTGTAGAGTTACCTAAAAATAAACCTACAGTTGGTTGCGGGTGGATTTTCACCACCAAGTTTAAGGCAGATGGAAGTTTGGAGAGGTATAAGGCAAGACTAGTTGCCAAGGGGTACACACAGACCTATGGAATTGATTACAAAGAAACCTTTGCACCAGTTGCAAAGTTGAACACTGTAAGAATTCTTTTATCTCTTGCTGCCAATTTAGACTGGCCATTACAACAACTGGATGTAAAGAATGCTTTTTTAAATGGGAAACTTGAAGAAGAAGTGTACATGGAACCTCCTCCTCGGTTTGAAAATAAGCTTGGGTTAAAAGTTTGCAGATTAGAGAAGGCTTTATATGGACTTAAACAGTCTCCAAGAGCCTGGTTTGACAGATTCACAAAGTTCATAAAGAAGCAAGGATTTAATCAAGCTCAAGCTGACCATACTTTATTCATGAAGTTTTCAGGTAAGGGGGAGATTGCAATCTTAATTGTCTATGTAGATGATATTATCCTCACTAGAAATAATCACACAAACACTAAAAGATTGAAAGACAATCGTGCTCATGAATTTGAGATTAAAGACCTAGGAAATTTAAATTTTTTCCTAAGAATGGAGATAGCTAGATCAAAGAAGGGTATTGTTGTCTCACAAAGGAAATATGTTCTAGATCTTCTACAGGAAACTGGAATGAGTGCCTGCAAACCAACAGACACTCCAATTGACCCAAGTCAGAAATTGGGAGATATCAAGGAGGGAAATCCAGTTGATATTCACCAATATCAAAGATTGGTAGGAAAATTAATATATCTGGCACACACAAGACCAGATATTGCATTTGCAGTAAGCATGGTGAGTCAGTTTATGCATCATCCTCTCCAAGAACATCTTGATGCTACTTACAGGATTCTGAGATACCTGAAGAGCTGTTCAGGGAAAGGATTGTTTTTCAAAAAGGGAAACAATAGGACAATTGAAGCTTTTACTGATGCAAATTATGCTGGCTCAATATCTGATATGAGATCTACTTCTGGATACTGCACCTATGTATGGGGAAATCTAGTTACCTGAAGAAGTAAGAAACAAAATGTGGTTGCTAGAAGTAGTGCAGAATCAGAATTTAGAGCTATGGCTAATGGAATATGTGAGTTACTCTGGATCAAACGAGTAATCACAGAACTAAAGATGGAGATTGGGCTGCCTATGAAGTTATATTGTGATAATAAAGCTGCTATAAGCATTGCTCATAACCCTGTTCTACATGATAGAACTAAGCATATTGAAGTGGATAGACATTTCATTAAGGAGAAGATTGAAGCTGGAATCATTTGCACACCATTTGTATCCACTAAAGATCAAACAGCTGATATCTTCACCAAAGGGTTATTTAGAACTATATTTGAGCTACTTATAAGCAAGTTGGGAATGTATGATATATATTCACCAACTTGAGGGGGAGTGTAGAAAAATGTTACATTATTTTTCCTGATTAGATTGATGTACATAGTGCGTCGGATAGACTTAGTTAGTTGTAGATAAGCTCATAGTTATCTAGATCCTAGTTTTTAGGATCTGTACTAGCTTGTAGTATCTGTACAAATTGTATTTATACTCTGACCGTATGGCTCATTCAATCAAGGAAGTTTAATTCCTAAAACTTACAAGTCAAATACTTGCATACCCAGTCATTGAGGCATCTTTATTTATGAGACCACAGTTTTTTGCATTTTTGTATTTTGTTTTGTCAGTGTGTGTTCCTTTTATTTGAGGGCAAACTAATGGAATGACTTTCCGTCAATGTTGGAGTTCACTCTTGAATGTCCCTACAAATCTGTGCTTGTTTACTGCAAAAGTACATTGAATGGCTTAGTACCTATATGCAAATATACAATCTGAACTTAGAAAAACTCTTAGGTGAATTATGACGTTGTTCTCCTTACCTTACTTTTTTGCTTATTACTTATTCTTACCTATAGAAGTGGAGCTAATAGTACCCAAATTGACTACTTTTTAGTACAAACGACTTGGAGAACTAGCTACACTGATTGTAAGATTATCCTATGTGAGAGTGCTGTCACTCAGCATAAGATGCTTGTGCTTGATTTTCGAGGTAAAAAGAGGGGACGAGTTAAGGTACAAGGGAGCCAAAGATAAAATGGTGGAGGCTCGAGGGGAATCTCCAACAAAGTTTTGCACACAATGTTGGAGGAAGATGTTTGGTCTATTGATAATGACGCACATGTGGATGATGTGTGGTTATCAATGGAGTCCACCATTAACAAAGCGGCGAAGGAGATACTCGGAGAATCTAAAGGATGTCTTCCACAAAAAAAGGACACATCTTGGTGGAATGATGAGGTGAAATAAGCAATAAGGGCCAAAAGAGAATGCTATAAGAAATTGGGCAAAAGTTGGAGCGACGAGAACATAGAGGAGTACAAAGAGGCTAGAAGAAGAGCAAAGAAAGCTGTGAAGGAAGCCAAAGGAAAAGTGAATAAGGAATTGTATGTAAAGTTGGATTCTAAGGAAGGAGAAAAAGATATCTACAGACTTGCTCGCCTTCGTGACCGTAGGACTCGAGATATCAGAAAAGTTAAGTGTGTGAAGGATGTCGATCAAAGGGTACTAATGGACGACGAAGAAATAAAAGAGAGGTGGAGGTCATACTTTGATACCTTGTTCAACGGGAATAAAGTCCAAGGTATTGACGATCTTACTATACCAGAGTGTATGGTAAATAGGGACTTCGTGAGAAGGATTCAAACAACAGAAGTTAAAGAGGCTATGAGAAAAATGGGCCGGAAGAAAGCAGTGGGCCCAGATGGCATACCGATCAAGGCTTGGAGAAGTTTGGGAGAGAAAGGCATCGAGTGGCCAACACGTTTCTTCAACATGATTTGGAGAAACGACAAAATGCCAGTGAGTTGGCGGAAGAGTACTCTCATTCCCTTATTTAAAAATAAGGGTGATGTATAAGAATGTGCTAACTATCGAGGGATTAAGCTTATGAGTCACACCATGAAACTTTGAGAGCGAGTGGTTGAGCAAAGACTACGTAAAAATGTGAAAATTTCGGAGAATCAATTTGGTTTATTGCCTGGACGCTCAACAACTGAGGCCATTCACCTTCTTAGACAAGTTGTGGAGAAGTATAGAGACACTAAAAAGGATCTGCATTTGGTGTTCATTGACTTAGAAAAGGTATATGATAGGGTACCTCGAGAAGTTCTTTGGTGGGCCTTAACTAGAAAACGCATATCACGTAAGTATATCAGCATCATCATGGATATGTATGATGCTTGTACTACTAGTGTCCGCACTAGTGTAGGGAGGACCGCAGAGTTCCCTATTACTATTGGAGTGCACCAAGGATCTGCTCTGAGTCCTTTCTTATTTGCTTTAGTCATGGATGAACTTACGAAGGCAATTTAAGAAGATATACCGTCGTACATGATGTTTGCCGACGATATTGTATTGATTGATGAGACACATTCCGGTGTTAAAGCAAAGTTGGGGGTATGGCGACAAACAGTGGAGAGCAAGGGTTTCAAACTGAGCCAAAGCAAGATTGAGTATATGGAGTGCAAGTTCGGTGGAGGTAGAAGCAGTAGCAACAGTTAGATTACTCTTGATGGTAAGGAGATACTGGTGTGTGATATGTTCCGTTACTTGGGATCCATAATTCAGAAGGATGGTGAATTAGATGGAGATGTATGTCATAGAATCAGAGCTGGGTGGATGAAATAGAAAAGTGCTTTAGGATTTCTATGCGATCGAGGTATGCCGACTAAACTGAAAGGTAAATTTTATCGTACAACAATTAGGCCGTCATTAATGTATGGCGTAGAGTGTTGGGCGGTGAAGCAATGCCACATTCAAAAGATGAGTGTGACAGAGATGCGCATGTTGCGTTGGATGTGTGGACATACCAGAAAAGACCGCCTGAGGAATGAGGTAATCAGACAAAAGGTGGGAGTAGCACCTATAGAAGATAAGATGCAGGAGTCTCGTTTGTGGTGGTTTGGGCATGTGCATAGAAGACCGAGCGATGCACCTGTTAGACGACTTGAGGGTGGGGAGAAGAGTCAGAGAAGAGAGGGAGGGGAAGACCCAAACAGACTTGGATTAGAGTAATTAGAACTGATATGCGTCTTCTTGGGTTGGATGAGAGTATGGCTTTGGAGAGAGCAAAGTGGAGGGCGCATATCCATGTGGACGATTGATGTCTTGTCTACCTTTCCTCTCTTGTTTCTTTTATCGTTTATCTTCCTTATCTTGTTATATTCTTATGTTATTTTTATCTTCTAGCTTTTTTATGCTCTTTTATTTATTTTTCTTTTATCTTGGTTATATTCTTGTGTTATTGTTATCATATATTTATGTATCTTTATTTTATTCATTTTATCTTACTTTTTTTTCTTTTCTTGTCCGCCTTCTCTTTTTGGCATCGATATCATAAATCGATTCATGTTAGCCGACCCCAAATTCTTTTGGGATTAAGGCTTGGATGTTGTTGTTGTACTTATTCTTACCTTAATCAGACAAGCCTGGACCAGAAAGATTCAAATCATACTAGATCACATGTTAGATTTCCGACAAGAAAATTAGACAAGAGCACACTACCAATTAGAACAGACCAAACCTGAAACACTCAAACAGTCAAACTATATCAGATCTCAAAACAATCAGATCACTGATCAGACACATTTTTTTCATTGAAGAGAACTAGTCTTAAGTCTGTGATGTCTATTAATCAATTAATATATAAGGGGATCCCATATTCCCATCTGTAGCAATATATTAGTGCATGACAGGTTTCTGTTGATTTTGTCTATGGATGATATGGTAGAGTCAACTGACGATTTGCACCCTGATCTTGCATACGATGTTGGTTTTTTGAGCCTGAAAATTTGATTTGCGATATATTATTACAACACAAAGTCCTGAAATGAGTTTAACACGGTTGTTCTTCTCCATCGGCAATTTGTACTCACAGGTATTTCCGTCATGCTTCTGGGGAGATGATTGTTATATCACGAGCATTGGCTAAATACATATCGATAAATAGGTAATGTTCTCTTTTTCCCACAACCATATTAAGACAAGTATATGCTGACATTTCTAATGTGCAGATTCATCCTTCGTACATATGCACATGATGATGTCACTGTCGGGTCTTGGTTCATTGGTGCTGATGTCAAGCACGTGGATGATAAGAAGTTTTGTTGTTCTTCTTGGTCTGCAGGTCTACTCTCTTTGTTTATCTTATCTTTACAAACATGCAACCAAACCCAAGAGCTGAACGGCTGAATGTTGTTTGTTCGCAGGGTCCATCTGTTCGGGCGTATAACTTTTCTAACTGGAGGATATTTGAAACTTTGTCATTTTATGACTCTCACTATTCTTTATACCTGAAAGAGATTGGGCCGATATTGGGACTTGGAGAGTTATTCTCAGACCAGTCTCAGTAATGGCATCTCTAATACACAGATGTATAGCCATCATAGTAGTGTTCATTGAATTAAATTCAATGAAAGTAGCGAAGCACGAGATGACATACGACGAAAATGTTCCTTATGTAGCTGTTTTAGAACTATGGGATTTTTAAGTGGCAACTAAGTACATACTATGGGATTTTAGCCAGTTCAAGTGTATGTTCAAAACTATCAGGTATAATAATTATGGAGTACATTAATATGAGCTTTTTTGTATTTGTACTTGAGGTGCTATTGTAGACAAACCTAATGTCACATATTTACTCTACTCATGATTTAATTCGTCTTTGGGGTATAATTTGAATTGTTTTTAGGACAAATTGTTTTTAGTAAGGGTTGAGCTAACCTTTCCGCTGATAATAAAAATCAGTCAAATCAGCCCATTTAAGAGTAACTCCAATGCTACCCTTTTTAGTGCACGTAAAGTGTGCCATGTCATTAATTGAGACATTGTGAATTTAATTTTAGTTCCAATGCCCTAGTCTCGTGTTTAGTTATGATGAGTTGGCAAAATGCGGTTCAAGCTGTACAACCAGTTGTACGATACACGGGTTTGACAAATTGCATCACGATTGTTATCCGCACAACTGGTTCTGGCTCCTCACTATCGCATAGGAGTAGACTCGGGCCGGGCCAACCGGCTCGGAATCGGGCCAGCCCGCTATTGTGCAGGCTCGGATCGGCCCGGTGAACCAGTTGGTGCCCGGTTCGGGCCACCTGGCTCGGGCCACCCGACTCGGTGAGGTAGGCGGGCCGGGCCTGCTAATTTGTGATTCGGCCTGGCCGGTTCGGGCCAATTTATTTATTTTTTCTTTTTTTTTTGAATTTTTTTTAATTTTTTGGGTTGGGCTGGGTATGATGGGCCATTTGAGGTGGTTTGGGGTGGTTTGGGGGTGAGGGGGGAGGGTTGGGGGGTTAAATAGGAACAGCCAAAAAAAAAAGAACCGAGGCCCGGCCCGGACCCGGGGTTACCCGGGCCGGTTCCGGGCCTCCCCTTTCATGAACCGAGGCCCGGTCGGGCCCAGGTCCGAACCGGAACCGGTCCACACCTACTATCGGTGATATTAATATTTATACTTTGTATATAAGTAGCACTAGCAGGCCGTCCTGAAGGTGCATCTGCGGCGAGTTGGCGATCACTGTCGGCATGGCTACCGATGGTGGTTAGGGATGGACCCAACCGAGCTGAACCGGCCCGGCCCACTACTGTACGGGCTCGGACCGGGCTCGGGCCCGGATGGTCGGTTCCGGGCTTTAGCCCGGTTTGGGTGGGCCTGGCGGGCTGGGCTCGGGCCTCGATTTTCATGAATCGGCCCGGGCTGGGCCCGGTTCATTTTTTTGGGTTTTTCATTTTTTTTTCTTTTTCTTGGGTAGGGCTGGCCTGGTTGGGTGTTTTGGGGAGGTTTGAGGGGTGGAGGTGAGGGGTGGTCGGGGGTTAATTAGAAAGCCAAAAAAAATACATTGAACCGGACCGGATCGACCTGGTTTGGCCCGAACTCGGTATCAACCCGGGCCAGTTTCGGGCCCAACATTCCGAAAAAAAGCCCACGCGAACCGGCTCGAGCCTGGTCCATGTCTACCGATGGTGACTCTCAAAACTTTTAGAGTCTAAGTAGATTAACCAAATGACACCAATGTGTCATAGATCTAGTCCATACTAGGCCCATATCAAAGTCATAAGCTCAGTTGTAGAGCTCACTCCCAAAAGATCAATCCAGGAGGGAACATCTTGCTTATAAGCCACCGGTCAAGTCCATACTTGACCGGTTTGGGATCGTTACAATACCCCATGCTTCGAAGAGCTAACGTTCTCATTGGTCATGGCTATGTTGGTCATAGTTGGCACCCCCAGGGTTCAAGCCACCACTTTGTAAGCCACCACTCCGAGTGTCGGGACCAGGAAGATGGGGATGACTCCGATACTAATTGATATAATCCCAAGAATTCGAAAGATTAATCAGATTATAGGTAGGAATTCAAGAGGAGAAAAGAATTCGAACCAAACAATTTATTGTAGGGAATGAAATGCTCAAAAATATTAGAGGAGGAAGATGAACCCATATAGTTCTTATATACTCCCTCTGTCCCGCTAACAATGGGACTAGAGGGAGTGACACGTAAATCAATAAAAAGTGGTTTATGTTGTTGATATTGTATTGATAAAGTTAAAATAAAGTAAGAATGATTTAGAGTCACACAAACTTTGCTAAATTTGGTATGTGACAATCTTAGTGGGACGGACGGATAAGGTAAAATGCAACAATCATAGCGGGACGGAGGTAGTACAAGATATTAGCTACGTACAGTTTATCAGACGAGGAAGCGGTCCAGCCCAACTGGTCGCCGACTCACTCTCCCTTACGGGAGGTCTCGGGTTTGAAACTCAATAGACCGAGTTTTAGCCTAATTTACTCCAGCCCCCAGCCGCTCCTCCCTCATGGGGTAAAAAACAAAAAGTACAGTTTATCAGACTAACCAACTAATCTGCTAACTAATTATAACGAATCACAAACAATCCTCCTGCATGTCAGAAGACATCTCAGCTACTTCATTCTTCCAGAAAGATGCACACAATGGTAAAGCTTAACGTTGCAGGAGTTCACGATGCAAGACCCCCATGGCTATGACGATTTAGATTGACAGTTTATGCATGCCCCATCTTCTTTCAAGTCCCAAAGAAGGCGCTCCTCCAAGTATATCAGAATATTCAATCTCTTCGTCTTGGTGGGAGGACCTCAAACTATGGCAACATGTTCACATGCTAGTAATAGGGTACACCGGAAGAACAACAATATCTTATGATATGCAATAGTTTGAGAAATTCTCTTATGATTGCAATTATGGCGAATTTACACCTCAACGATGATGAGGAGGAAGTTTTGAATTTTTCGGCAGAGGTGTCCCAAGTGCGTAAAGGGGATGCCAACCTCTGTTTGGTAGGTCGGTTTCTCACCACGAAACCTATTCGAACTTACATGATGAAGGAGCGACTTGCCACAGTATGGGAACCACATGAAGGAGTCGCGATTGCAGAAGTTGAGAGGGAAAATGTGAGAGAAAAGATACTTTCGTGAGCTTTTTAATAACTGTTAGCTTTTAATGACCGAAAAGATCTTAAAGAGAAAATGTGGTAGTTGTTTGGTAAAAAGCTGACTGATTGATTTAGTTCGGTTTGATATACAAGCTGTTAGGACTAATTAATACTAAGAGCCTGTTTACTAACTGAAATATTTTCTGTTTTTTGAAAAATTTAGAAAACTCGAGATAGAAAAATTAGAAAACTTGTTTACCTAACTGTTCTCCAAAATCAAATATAAGAAACATGTCTAGCCTTTTGTACGTGAAACGGAAAACCGACTTTGAGTTGTTTTCCCAAATTAGAAAACTCGGTGCTACAGTGATCTGTGGTATGTATTTACTGGTTCGTCCTCCTCCATCTACCCACCTTACTTGCTCGCTTTAACTTTCGTTCAACGCCTTACCTTCCTCCATCTACCCTCTTTACTTCTTAGCCGAACAGCTGCACCCTTTCCATAGCTATTAAAGTAGCAGAAAGCTTCGCCAAACATTGCACATCCAAACACGCTACGGAACATAGCTTCGTCCAAGATAGGAATGACCATTTGTTCTTGGAGTACGAGGAAGATGATATGATATTTAACACAAAGACAAGTACAAGTGAAAATGGATCACCCGAATTTGATATGTCTCAACAACAACAAATGCATGAAATTCAAAAGAGTATTGCAAATGCAATATGAGATGATTATAATGTTTGATATGTATAAGTACGACTGTTGTTTTGATTAACATAATGTCACTTATTGAACTTTCAGGGTTTGGGAACATTTGTGTTAATTTTTTGTGTTATTCCAAATGTTTGTAATTGTTTTTTTCTTTTCCAAATATTAAGTCAACATTTTCTGGTAAAAATGAAATGGAAAATGAAATGGAAAATTTTCTGGTAAACATGTTTTCTGATTTGGAAATCAAAAAACTGGAAAGCGAAAACAGAAAAATATTTCTGTTAATAAACATGCCCTAAAAGTCACGGGCTTTTTTCATATGCTACTCCCTGTAGCATCTCAAAAAAGATCTTTTAATTTTTGAAAAACTTTTAAAAATTGTCATGCCAAACATATAATTAGAAGCTTTTAGAGACTTTTTGAACAATACAAAAGTTAGAAGGTAGAGACTTATGCTTGACAAACATAGTCATAGTGTGTGTTTTGAATTGGAATTGGAGTAGGACCATTTTTTTAGGGAAACTGGAAATAGTGTATTTTTTTTTTCAAATTGAAATCTGAGTTCACACCGACACCAATAAGGCTATAATAGCAAACATTTAGAATATTTTTAATGGGAGTGTAATTATCTAGTTTGGTCTGAATTAATAGAATTATTATAGGATCATTATTGTACTCTACATTAAACTCTTCTTTATTATAAATATATCTGCCATGACTCCTAGAGAGTATCCTGTTCCATTATTTCACATGGTATCAAGAGCACAAAATAAATCCTAAATTTTTTTCCTCTTCTCTCTCTCGGCTACCCTACACCGCCGCCATGAGCTCTTCGGCTTCCACCACCGCCGCCGTTACTTCTTCGGTGGTCACTTCTGCCATGGCAGGAGTACAGATCTCCGCCTCCCCTGCTGCTGTACCGCCGACTCAAACTCCACCCGAGTCCGGCGTCACCTTCCCCTCCCATTACATCTCACCGAGTCGCAGCATACCCCTACTCCCTCTTCCAGCATATGCCACCAACTTTCCCTTGGCATCCTCCCTCAACAGTGCAGTCCGTTCCCTTGGAAACCCCTCCCTTCTCGACGACGTCCTTCTCCGGCCCTACACTCGTCGGCTCGCCAGGAGTCTCCACCGTGGCTCAACCTCTTCGGTCAGCAGCACCAGCCACGGGTGCCTCACCTCTATTTGATCTTGCTCAGACTATCTCTCATGTGACTACTAATGTCACCAATATTGTTACTACAAAACACCTGGCTGTGGAAGATTATACCACGTGGCGGACTCAGTTTGAGTCTTTTCTTGTCTCCCAAGGACTTCTGGGCATGGTCGATGGTTCTCTTCAGGTACCTCCTGCTTATTCCATTGATATTCTAAACCGTCAGTTTCCCAATCCCGAATACTCTGTCTGGTTGCGAATTGATCAAACCATCAAGTCTTGGTTATTTGCAACCCTTTCTCGAGATATTCTTATTGATTTTCGTGATCTCAAACATTCTTTTCAAATTTGGGAGCGTTTAGAATCTCGATTCATGTCTGC